AGGCAAGTTCGGTCCTAGAGAGCCGCAGTCCTGCAGAGTTCAGCTCCAACCCTGAGAAAAAAACTCACCTGCCTATAGCCTTAGTAACTCTGAAGACATTGATTAGCTTGTTCAGGTGTGTCTGATTAGGGTTGGAGCTGAACTCTGCAGGACTGCGGCTCTCTAGGACCGAACTTGCCTACCCCTGGTCTAGAGTCACTAGTTGCAGAATCAGAGCCAGGCTTCAGGTTAGGGGCGATCGTCACAGAAAATCACATTCTGATCCTGATTTTTAGCTTCAGACTGATTCCATGCAGCTGGAGATCAGACATGTTTCATATTTTGAGCTGAGTTTAGAACACATTATTTATTCGTCGTGTGTCAGAGTAACAAGGTTATTAGCTGAACAGTTACGTTTATTAAAACCAGTGTATCCGCTGGGTGTTTTATTAGCATAACAGTTGCCAAGCAACGTAACAACTTTACAATATTCATATTATGTTAATTTTCCAGCTCATCCACCATATTTCTGACCATCAGCAGACAAAGTAATGGTACACATGAACAGAGATACCAAGAGAAGCCGAGTTTGATCCGGATCAGGATTTTTACAGATCTTAGTTAGCACAGACCAAACCTAGCATTCACAGATATTTATATTTCATACACGTATATGGCGAATGAGTCAACACATGACAGTAAATACAGTCAGACAACTCAAAGCACACGTGTGTTACATCTGTTTATTTATGCATGTTTAAGGTTTATAGGCTAATACATGGATTTAAAGATTGCGCTTAATATTATAAGAAACCAGGTGAGAGAATCAGTCAGTCAGTGCATCAGAAGCTCATGCACCAGTGAGAGATGCTTGATTCAGAGGAGTATTAGTACAGAGACAGGTGTATGATATGATCGCGTCAGAGCTACTGCTAATGCTGACTGTAGTGTCACTGATGGGGTTTAATGAGCTAGTTTCAGTCTCAGTGGATGAGGGTTATTGCACTAGCCGATCCCTGAACACTAGCCTACAGAACAGAACAGGGCCCAAGCTACGCGTAACGCTGGAAGATACTAGTGCGTGTGAACGTCACGACAATGACGAGTGTGTTTGTGAGTGATTTAATGTTAACCATCAGCTGAATCTTCTCATCCGGAGTCTCTGTCGCTTTCGGATCTGGCAGCACCGGTTATATTTGGTCACCGTATAAATAAATGAAACGCATCTCCCTAAGCGGCAGGTGCACGTCTAATGAGCGGTTCGGATTATAGTGCGCTTGTATGGACGTCTAATCTCACACGGTCCGTCTAAATGACATCAAGTCCAGCCGTGAGTTTGGAGACAGCAGGCCGACGCTCCGAGTGAGAGACGAATCTGAGTTCAGACTCCTACAGGAATACAGACGCCGCTGAACCACCCACTGAGAGAGGGAGAGAGAGAGAGAGAGAGACACAGAGAGAGAGAGAGAGAGAGGGGCGTTCCCTCAGCAGAAGTGTCCATCAGTCCTCATGCAAAGGGCTATAGCTCCGCTCACAGCTGCATGTCACACATGCGTCAATCACCCGGTCACCATGGTGACAACCTGTTGCTGACCCTCATAGAGAGGAGTAGAAGAAGATGTAGGCGGCGGCCGAGCGCACTGAGGAGGCGGAGATGTCGGACACCTCGTGATCGTCAAACTTGAACCAGCGCTGCTTGAGAGGGTTCTTACAGTAAGCAGTGTAGTGACCGCCGTCCAGCCCACCGTAATGATTCTGCAGAGACGAGACGTCAAAGATCATGTGTGTGTGAGAGAGAGAGAGTGAGTCTGTGTGAGAGAGAGAGAGAGAGAGTGTGTGTGTGTGTGTGTGTGTCCAGCGTCTGCAGCTTCTCCCGCCACCGCCCGTCGTATTTAAACCTTACAAACACACACCAACACGTTTGACACGCTGCTTTACGGGACATCAGAGCCCTGCGCTGGAGCGCTGCAGACGTGACTCACCGTTTCAAGTGTACCAGTAAAATGGGCGGAACCTTCCAGATTTGCATCTTCTTGATGGCGTCTCGGTGCGTCTTACAGTGGCGGCAGTAGAAGCGGTTGCTGTCGGTCAGACGCTCCTCTTTAGAGAACAGCTTCAGACAGTCCTGTACAAACACACAGCGCCGATTAAAGCCCCTCATCACCACAGACCATCACTATCACTGTAAAGTCTTAATAATCTAACTGTGACTCCACACTAGGATTGGAACACTTTGAAAATATTGTTATTAAACAGAAAGCTCTGTAGTTGGTGAAACACTATTTTCTTTAAAATTTTAGACATAAAAGAGAGATTTGAGACTGGCCTAAAATTAGTCAACACTGTCGGATCTAAATTAGTTTTTTTTTAAGAAGTGGATGTACAATGGCGTGCATCATGTAATCTGGAACCATTTCAAGGCAGCTGTTCATAATCTTAATAACAGTAGGCCCAATCACCTCAAAAATTTGTTACAAAAATCGAGGAGGAAGAATGTCATAGGAGGATCCAGAGGGTTTAAGCTGGCTTACTATATCTTGTAGAGCAGGCAGAGTTACAGGCTCAAACTGACTTAAGATGCTGGTAAAGAGTGGAGGGACAGAGGGATCTTGACAAGGAGAGGGAATATCTAGCCTAATATCCCTTAACTTGTCCACAAATAAATTAAGGAATTTGTCACATATAGCCGTGGACTCTGTAGGGAAGAGATCACCTGAAGGGTTGATAGCCGCATTAATAGTGGAAAAAAGTGCTCTTGAATTGTGAAAGTTCTTTTCAATCAAATCTGAAAAGTACTTAAACCTTGCTGTTTTCACCGCTTTCTGGTATTGTATCAGACTGTCTCTTAATATTTCATAAGAAACTTGCAGCTTATCTTTTTTCCACCTTCTTTCGGCCCTTCTGCAGCCCTGTCGAAGAGCACGAGTATCATCATTGAGCCAGGACCCAGCCTTTGGTTTGTGTTGCTTGGCTTTTTTAGGGGCCAGAGAGTTTAAAATATTAGCAGAGATAGTATTAAAATGATTAAGATAGTCAACACCACTCCAATCATCACAAACTAAGTCGGATGATTGGGATACCTCCTTAAAAACAGCTGAAAACTCAGTACAAGTGGTTGGTGTGATCATACGAGACCAACGAACAGCCTTGGTAGGTCTAGTAATGTTAACATTTGTGGGGACTCTGAACGTAATAGGCTTGTGATCTGAGATAGCATGGTCGTCTATTGCAAAATCATGTACTGACAAACCATGAGAAAGCACTAAATCAAGGGCATGACCATGTTCATGAGTAGGAACATTCACAAGCCGTGCCAAATCAAAAGAGTCAATAAGGCTCAAAAATTCTCTGGCTAAGAGATTAGTTGGACAACACACATGTATATTAAAATCTCCAAGGATTAAAAGTCTATCAAAATTGGGGATAATTCCCCCTAAAACGTCTGAAAACTCGTTAATGAAGTCCTTATGTGGTTTAGGTGGACGATAAATAACTGAGATCCATCGGATTATCCATTTCCAAAACAAATAACTGTAGTTCAAAACTGGAATAGACATCCGTCGCTAACATCCGACAACAATAGTTCTGTTTAAAAATAGAAGCCAGTCCACCACCTCGACCCACAGAGCGAGGAGAGCTTAAGAATTTGCAATCAGATGGTACCAGTACAGAAAACGTGCTCAGGTCCCCTGGAGTAAGCCAAGTTTGCGTGATAAACAAAAAGTCTAGTGTACGTGAATTTAAAAAGTAATTGATGATAACCATCTTGTTTGACACTGACCTGGCGTTAATCAATGACATCCTGATCTCTCGCGACTCAATGGTCCGCTCTGAAGAAAGCGAACGGAGGTGACTAATACAAACGCCACCTCGGCGCAGACGGGGTGAAGTTGATCCAGCGGATCCCCAGCAATCGGTATATTCCACGCATACAGTGGTTATAACGCGCGCCCGCTATGAAGCGGCCGTGGGTGAGTGAGAGAGAGTGAGTCTGTGTGAGAGAGAGAGAGAGAGAGTGTGTGTGTGTGTGTGTGTGTTTGAGAGAGAGTGAGTATGTGTGTGTGTGAGAGAGTGAGTGTGTGTGTGCGTGCGCGTGTGTGTGAGAGTGAGTGTGTGTGTGTGAGAGAGAGAGAGTGTGGTGTGAGAGTGAGTGAGTGAGTGTGTGTGTGGTTGTGTACTCACAGACACAGCGTACAGGCTGTACTTCTTCAGGTTGGGTTTGGGTCCGATGACGTACTGTGACAGGTCCAGATTATCCAGCGGGAAATCCACCAGCGTCTGCAGCTTCTCCCGCCACCGCCCGTCGTATTTAAACCTTACAAACACACACCAACACGTTTGACACGCTGCTTTACGGGACATCAGAGCCCTGCGCTGGAGCGCTGCAGACGTGACTCACCGTTTCAAGTGTACCAGTAAAATGGGCGGAACCTTCCAGATTTGCATCTTCTTGATGGCGTCTCGGTGCGTCTTACAGTGGCGGCAGTAGAAGCGGTTATTTGCGGTCAGACGCTCCTCTTTAGAGAACAGCTTCAGACAGTCCTGTACAAACACACAGCGCCATTAAAGCCAGTCACTATGACTATAAAGTCTTAATAATCGATCTAACTCTGAGAGAATAGTGACTCCACACCAAGTGGAAATTTCAATTTTTGAAATTGTGTGTGAGAGTGTGTGACCTGTAGCGAGCACTTGCTGCTGGACGTCATCTCCAGAGTCAGGTACATGAAGGTCTCGAAGGTGCGGGACTTGTGCTGGCAGCTCATGCACTGGACCGTGGACTTAAACTGACCCTGGAACAGAACCACGATGATGGACTCGTTCAGGAGCCTGTGTTTGGACCAGGCCAGCTCTGCTGCGCTCACGTCGTCCAGATGATCGATGTCCTCCTCCTTATACCCGCGTCGCTTATCCGCCTGACAGACAACGAGAGAATGCCCGTCTTTATCATGCTTTCAGGTGCGAGGCGTATCGTTCCTGAAGAACACGCTCAGCTCTTGCTCTGAGCGCTGTACCTTATTGAGATCCTCGTGCAGGCCGTCCATGAGGAACAGCAGCAGCTCCTGAGAGTCCTGGTGCTCGTAGCTGGAGAAGCGGTTGTTGATTTTACAGATGGTGCCTTTAAAATCCTGCGGGCTGATCATTTTGTACTGTCCTGACCACAGCGCCTTCATGATGACGCTGAACTCCTCGGCCACCTCGCCCTTGTGACCCAGAATATTGGCCCTGTGAGAAACACACACACACACACACACACACAGAGTCACTCTGATTCACGCTAAACGTGATCGTTTAATCAGTGACGTCTGAATGATGGATTACCGGTTAATGTCGTCCTGATAGATGTTCCTGTTGAAATAGTCTGCCATGGCGACCGTGTTACACAGGCACTGGAGGATAGAGTTCATGTAGCAGGTGTTGCCGAGGTTACGGAGGCCCATTAGCAACGGCCCCTGACCTCCAAACACCGGGTTCAGGTTCCGGATCTGAGCTGCAGACGGCCGAGCGATCTTCACCTTAGTGTAAGCAGCAGCGGTGGTCAGCGGCCTAACACACAAACACACATCAGCACGCCTGTGAAGAACTCGTGTGTGTGTGTGTGTGTGTGTGTGTGTGTGTGCACGGCTGCAGGTTTTCTGCTGGTCTCTGCGCTCAGCTCTTGGCTGATGTCAGGAGAGGAGTACGAGCGCTTGAGTTTGGACTGCTCTCGGTCCCGCTCCTCCTCTCTCTCGCGCTCCTGCTCCTGCTCTTTCTCCGTCTCGGTGGGCTGCGGTGGCTTGGCTTTAGCGGCGCTGAGCTGGATCTGAGGCGTGTGGACCTCCGGAGGGTACAGGTGCACGCGGTTGGTGGGAGAGTGGTAATATCTGTAGGTGCCCGTCACCGTGTCCAGAAACTGCAGAGACCAGCAGCTCAGGGTTAGAAACACCAGCGAACAACAACACGACACGACAAACACCTGCTGCTCTTACCTTCATCCAGCCATCTGGCAGCCCTGGGACGGTTCGGCCCATCTCCTCACTGTGTGCTCGCGTCAGAGACTCCCTCTGGAACACACACACACGCACACAGGTTACACACTCCTGTTCAAGTGTGTGATGTCGTTCACATTACACAACACAAGGGGTGTGCGATGTTTATTGTTTTAACAATGTGCCAGATGAGTTGTCACTTTCGTCACAAAAACGCAACAAAAAACACGCTTTGCACACGTTTTCCCTGCACAATGTGGCCTATTTTAATTCTGTTAGATTGCCCCAAAATTCAACATATAGGCCTACGTTGCCAATTTTCCCCACACGTTTTGTTGTATATTCATATGAAAGAATATAGTTAATCCATATCACATGAGCACATGAGTGCCGTTTCTACTCATTCAATTATCATTACTGACAAAATCCCAGAAAATATTGAGATATTTTTTTTGTCAATATCACACACTCCTACTCAACCCTCCATAGATCAACCTAAACATGCTGCGTTCAGCCGTCCTGATGCTGCTGAGTGTGTGTGTGTGTGTGAGAGAGAGTGTGTGTG